CTCAATGTAATAAACAGATCAAGTGATTAATTAACAAGTTGGAGACTTCAGAAAGCCACGGTAATATTTTATTTCATAAAATCCATAATTCGATTTCGCTTCGTCAGACATGGTGGTTTCAAAACGATGAATGGATTAAAAAATTCTTTAAGAATCAAACGAAAACCGAAAAAAATGATTCAATTTTTTTTTTCGTTTTTCGTTTGATTCTTGGAAGAATTCTTGAATCCATTCATCGTTTTGAAACCGCCAGGTCTAACGAAGCGAAATCGAATTATGGATTTTGCGAAATAAAATATTACCATGGATTTCTGAAGTCTCCGATTTTTTCATTATATATATATATATAGTGGCGACAGTCTGTTAATTCTTGAATGCAATCTAAATCCCTGATATTAAGCACTTTTACCAGTAAATATAGCATACCTTAAAACTATATTTTTATCATATATATTATTTTAAAGTAATTTTTTTAATCCGATATTGATTATTATTATTATTATTATTATTATTATTATTATTTCCCTTGATTTTTGGTGTATACCCATTTCTTTCTGGGTCCCGACCAGAAACCTAAGATCAGAAATGGCATCATGACATTTTTCCCTGAGCAGTTAAAAATAAAAATCACACATATTTTACATAGACAAAGCCCTTCGTAAGGTGTGGGCTGTACTTGTGAGTACAATCTTTGGTATTTCTTTAAAGCATGATCTACCAGAGATTCCTTCAATTAGTCTATTGGAATCTTTTTCAATCGATCGCAGGTCTCCAACTACAATTGGAATTGTTTATGTCCTCACGTGCTCTATTTTTGTGATTTCGATTTGAAGATTCTTGTATTTTGATAGTTTTCTGAAGATCTTCAAAGATACATTGCAGTTGGCATGGACTGCCATGTCAATAAGGAGGCATATTTTGTCTTTGTAGTCTCTAATCACGATGTCTGGGCTTTGTATTGTAAAGTCCAATAAAATTGTTACAAGTCTTATCTCCGTAACCGGGTCTGGGTGGATTGCTATTATTATTATTGTTATGAATAATCAAGAGTGGTCGGCACTTGTTACTCTCCTCTTTGAGAGGGTTATTTACTGTTTACTGGTACTATAAAAGGACACTATGCACGAACCTTGTATTCTCAGTTGAATAAAGCTTTCTTAAAGCCTACACCTGCGTACTTTTTTCATTACAATTATTACTATTATTAATATTATTACTATTATTATTACTATTATAAACGTTATATTTTGTGGATCTTCAGTAGACATCTCTGTTTTTAAATATTTAAATTATTGTCTGACAGCCAGCAGACCGAAATTTTTAACTAAGATCCCCTCCGTATAGTTGCCAGTGGGTGTTGACTAAATAAAAATGTGCCAGAGCAGGAGTCTGCGACAAGGTATATTTGTGAATGAGAAATTTCAAATTTCAATATAAGCGTGTCGTATCGGTGAAGTCATATGTAAAATATTTTCGCGGATATAGCCGATCGAATCCCTTTTCAAGGACCCAGTTGTTCGAACTGAAGGCATAAAATGCGTGGAAAAACAACATAACAAAAACATATTACTTCAATAATAGGTCGTGCATTTGAAAATATGCAAACGTTATTCTGGTTGAAAGGTAATAACGAAGATGGAAGAAAAAAAAATAATTCGTTTTCTGTTTTCATAAGAAAAAACAAAAACAAGAATAAAAGTAATGAACGAAAAAAGAACAAAAAATTACGAATGAGAATCAAAAGAAGAAAACAAGAAGATAAAAAAAGGAAAGTGAAGAAAAAGGAGAAAAACGAAAGAAGAGTCAAGAATAAGAAAAAGGATAAAAGAAGAAAAGCAGCAAGAGAAAAATGAGAGAGAAGAAAAAAAGAACTAAGAAAAAAGACGAAAGAGAAAAATAATAAAAAAGAAAGAGAAAAAAAAGCATAAACAAAGAACGAAGAAAAAGAGAAGAAAGAGGAAAAACAAGGGAAAAAAGAATTAGAAAAGCAGAACACAAAAATGAGAAAAAATTCGATTAAATCAGACGGCTTTTCACCACACGAGCCAAATTTTAACTTCCTTTTACGCTCACACATATGTGAGCGTATTTTAGTGCCAAATGTCGAAACTGTATTTACTTGAGAATCAAAGGACGAGTCGGAATATGTGGGAACGTCAGAAGGGGTGACCCTTTGTTGCCTCTTATCCACAAATAAAGGCGCCTATTGGCCCCAAATAAAAGAAAAAAAAACAAAACAATTCAGCTGTCAGTTTTCGTTTCCACAAGACTGAGATCGGATATTCATATTTTTTAAAAGGTCTCTTTTGCATGTGTCCTCTTTTTTTTATTTTATACGCACCATTGGTCGTAAGGAATAGAAAGGCTAATTGCACACGCTAATATAACTATCAAAGCATTATTCTATCACGGGCGATTTTGTATATATATATATATATATATATATATATATATATATATATATATATATATATATATATATATATTTATGTATGTATGGGCATCATAATATATCTTGTGCTAATATATTTATAAGATCGAGGTAACATATGGATTATAAAGTAGAAAGTTTTCCAAATTCTTCCAGACTATATATATATATATATATATATATATATATATATATATATATATATATATATATGTATGTGTGTGTGTGTGTGTGTGTGTCAAAAGCAAATCAAGTTAATAGTAGATTGTCAAAGAACAACTGTAAAAAAACAAAAAGCCTGCCAAAGAAAAGCACATGAAAAAAACAAAAGAAAATGCTAAAGAAAGTCTAAGAAAAAAAAAACAAAAAACAAGAAAAATACCAGAAAAAAGGAAAGAAAACACATGGGGGAAAGGCAGAAAGCTTCCCACGCAAAAAGTGCTCAGAAATTAGACTAAGTCAGAGCAGGTTCTTGTCGTCTGACAATCGCCTAGCGTAAAACTCAGGGTTATGATTTGAATATGAGTCCCTGAGTTTTGTTTTATTTTATATATATATATATATATATATATATATATATATATGGCCTGACGAATGCATCTAACATGAAACAGACTGTCGACTTCTATGTTCACTTTTATATTTACACACGCTCTATTTCTGATATTGAGCACTTTATCCCATATAGCACATCTTAAGCCTATATTTCTTCATATATATATATATATATATATATATATATATATATATATATATATATATATATATATAGTCATCCACACAAATATATATATATATATATATATATATATATGTTGACTATTTTTACCCTTCAATATAACATGAGAATAAAACTATATTATTGTCATATATATATGAAGTGCAAAGACTATAGTGAATACATTTTTAGGTCTGCTGCTAATAAAGTTGTCTCTCAACACTTTTTATGTCCATAATCTATCTTATATATCTGTAAGTCTACCATTTTTCGCTGCTTCGAATACTGACGCAACATATGGTCTGGTTCTCCTGCTAGATATTTAGAGATTTTTGATAAAATTCAAAGAAGAATCAGCAATATTATTATTCCTGACCTGGCGACTTGGCTTCAATCACTTTCTCACCGCCGTTAAGTTGCCATCCTGTGCCTTTTCTATGAAAGCTTTCATGATAACCGTTCGGATGAGCTCATCGCTACGGTAACTAGACTTTATGAATATAAGCACAATACTAGATTCGCAATAAGATCTCATCAATTTACAGTTGAACTGGTTACATGTAACCGTAAGTTCTATGCTAACAGTTTCTTGTACTTCTCCATGCTTTCCAACCAAGTTTGATTTTCAAAAATTTAAATGCAATATCAGTCGTTCACTATTTACATTATTCGGACTATTGTCCTCATCTTTGTTGCCATATTCATCACAACGTTTCGGTCGTTGTACGCTCCGGCCTTCTTTAGGTGGTTGAAATGTCGAACTAAACCCTTTATTTCTCTCGCTGGGGTAGACTGTTCTAGTTCTACGTGTCATGTATAATGGATGTCAGTAATCCGTTATCTCCTGTTAATTCGCCTCTCCAAGTTCTCCACTGCCTTAACCGGGTATTGAACTCACAACTCTTTGGGTCCTGTCACTGGATCTAACCAACGCCTTTATCCGTGATAAATATGGCAACAAAGATAAGGCCAATAGTTCGAATAATGTTAATAGTGTATATAATACGTCATCTCAGAAATATAGACAGATAATGTCAGTCGTTATTTACCGGCTTTCTGACTACTCTTCTATTGTTTTCCCTCCTTAATAATGTTTCTATTTTCTAATCCTTTCACACCCAGTAACCCCCTTGAGTCTTATTGGCTTTACTGGCTTACTTGGGGTGAATTCATTGATACAAGATTGATTAAAAAATCTATTCTTCATTGGATAAATCTATCGTTAGTCGAGAAAGTGATGTGATACACGCGTAGGCGATCATGTCGATTAATAACTGACAAGACAGCAGATCTTTCCCGCGGTAGGTTGCTGTTTCGTTCTGCGGCAGATTAGTTGTCAACCAAGACTATAGGGCCCAGTATATCCTACTATTTAACCCATAGTTGGAAGGAGAAGAGACGAACTTATACCTTTTCCATGGGTATTTGCGCGTAAGTCCAATCTAATATAACGAACCCGACTAAGATTGTCTTACGGCCACATTGAAAGACTCATTCCAATACTATCAACGATGTTAAGCAACGTCGAGCCTGGTTAGTACCTAGATGAGTGACTGCTTGGAAATACCAGGTGCTGTAAACTTGGATGTACGGGTGGTGTAATGGATAATGGCCTGGAATTGTTAATCGGAGAGCCGACTTCCAATTCTCATTGGGTTAGTTATATTTACTTACGTGCAAATAACCGTGAGAAAGGTATGATTCCACTTCTTTTCACTCCAGCTATAGGTTAATTAGTGGCTTCCACGTCCGAAAAACGGGTCCCCTTGATGACCCGCTTGAGCTTGGGAAAAGGAAAATATCTCTCACAGAGCCGGGTTAGGTGAGTAGGGAGTTTGCTCCAGTACGGCGATGTTAATCAAGGAAGCACAATTTCCTGACGTGGGAACCATCAAGAAGGCTGTGACGAGGAAGCTGCGGAAAATCGTAGGAGAATTCTCCTTGGAGTGCATGGAGGCGTGACAGAGATAAATATGGCTTAGACTCAAGGGGGATAATTTCCAAAAGGAAAACTTGTAGTTTGGATTTGACATAATTTTTTTTTGTGACTTCAGTCGTCTTTCTTTCCTGAAACATGTCGAATGTTATTATGGGGGGGAATTGCAGACAGTGCAATGGTTAACGACTCATTAGTTACATTCACTTTCGCACAATACCCCTTAGGCTGCGTTGCCTTGAAGTGGCAACCCATTTAAGAGAACGAAAATTCCGAATTCACAACTAGTTTAACAGGGTTGAGCTCCGCCAGGCAATCTTGACCTAAACTTGGCATGGGCAACCTTTTAGGATTTCTTTGGTAACAAAGAAGAGAATATTGAGCTGTTACGTGGCATCTGTTATTCTTTACGGTAGAGAATGTTGAACTATTTCTTCAAAGATGAAGAAGAGACTCGAGGTGACAGAGATGTGGTTCTACAGAAGGATGCTAAGGATAACATGGACCGAGCATGTGAGCAACGATGGGGTCTTGGAGAGGTTGCAAACAAGGTGAAGGCTTATGCTTAACACCAGAAAGAGACAGCTGAAGTTTCTGGGACACATAATGAGGAAGGAGGGCCTGGAGAATCAGATACTCACAGGTCGAATAGAGGGAAAAAGAGACAAGAGAAAGCAGCGCGTGACATATCTGACGAGCTTGATCAGGTGGGTAACTGAACGTGGTCTGGAGGAAGAAGCAGAGGGAAGGACCTTGAGAGCTGCAAGGGATAGAGGGAGGTGGAGAGCTACGATCGCCTACTTCCCGAGAGGAGATGGCACATAAAAAGAAAGACCGCATGAAACACAGTACATCATAATTCTAGTCGTACTACTAAAAAATCAACGTAATCTTTTTCATTAAAGTTACGGCAGCCATTTTCTCAACAAAAGAGCATGCGTATTAGCATGTCTTAGAAATGAAAAAAAATTCCTTCTATAATTAAATAGAACCGAAATATTGGTATAATATTATTATTGATGAGGGAACGATTAACACACACTGCTCATTTGATCATAGAAAATTATTTGTAGAAAGAAGAAGCATATCTATTTTCTAGAGAAAAAAACATTATCATTGAGGTTTTCTGTTTTTGAAGCAAAAGATGTTTACACGTATGTTTTTCCTTAGTCAAAATCGCTAATAGTTGAAAATGCTGACAAAGTTACCTTCAACGAAAAGTTACAAAATTTAAGAAACACTGTAGTCAATGACTGTTTACGTTTACGGTTATGTATGAGAGAGTGTGTGAGTGAACAAGTGAGAACGAAAGGAAAGAACATCTTGATAAACGTTATTTTCCTCATTAGGCGTGCCATTCAGAAGGCCGATCGAGCCGCATGTAGCCCCCGGCCCGAAGATTGCTCATGACTAACCTAAGAACAACACTATTTTTTTTAATCATTTCACGCCAAACACGGCAATACAGTCGGGTTACCGAGTGTGAGAGAATATGAGAGAAAAAAATACTATTAAAGAGAGAGGACAATAAAAGAATCTGTAAATGACATTCTGTTAGTGTGTCTGTGTGCTTGTCAACTTGTTACCTCATCCTAAGTAAACCGCCAGTCCGATTGGCATGAAAATACACACAAAGATCGGAAATTTACGGCATTCGTACTTGACGTCTTCGGATTTTTCGATTGTTCCTCCAATTTTGGAAAAAAAATGATAAAACCGATAGGGGGTCGAATATTGATTCGAAAAAAAATCATCAGTTTTTCTGTGATAGTTTTCACAAATTACAAGTGATATCCACCAAACTCAAGTTAAGCAATGTCCTTACTTATAGTTTTGAGGTACTGTTCTTTATTTTTAAAAATTGATGTCAGTTATTGGAAAAAAATATCGATAAAATCGATCATTTTGGGACATCCGATTCAAATCCAATTTAGCTTATTTTTGGCTCTGTTTTTCGCAAACTGCAAGGAATTTTCACAAAAATCATGTTGAGCATTAGTTTTTATCAACAGTTATTAGTTGCTGAACATTTTCTTTAATATTGGTATCAATTATCGAAAAAAATCGATAACATCATGGCACTTTTGAGTTCCAATTCAAATCCAGTCAAGATGATTTTTGACTATATTTTTCGCAAACGGCGTGAATTTCCACCAAAATTACCTTGAGCATTGTTTTTATCAACATTTATAAGGTGCTGACATTCATTTTCAATATCGATATCAATTACCGGAAAAATATCGATACAATCGATCACTTTGGAACATCCAATTCAAATCCAGTCAAGCTGATTTTTGGCAAATGGTGAAGAATTTCAAATCCAGTCAAGCTGATTGTTCGCAAATGGCGAAGAATTTCCACCAAAATTACGTTGAGCATTGTTTTTATCAAAAGTTATTAGGTGTTGGCATTCATTTTCAATATCGATATCAATTACTGGTAAAAATCGATACAATCGATCACTTTGGAACATCCGCTTCAAGTCCAGTCTAGCTGATTTTTGGCTATATTTTTCGCAAATGGCGAAGAATTTTCAGCAAAGTTCCCGTTGAGCATAGTATTTACTGACAATATTGAGGTGCTGACTTTTGTTTTCAATATCAGTTTCAATTATCGGATAAAAATTGATGAAATCATACCACTTTTGACTTCCCATTCAAATCGAGTTTACCTGAATTTGGCGATGTTTTTCGCAACTTGCTTGGGATTTTGATTAACTTTATCGGCTTTAATCGTGACAACTAAAAACTTTTGCCCTATGAGCTTCTTTGTGACCAACTAATATCTAAGAGAAGTCGATACGATCATGTCTTCATCGGAATTTGCGAATACACCAATCAAACGTATGTTCAACTGAGACGTCTACACTACAGACTCTACAACTGATTGTTATTCACACACGTGTGACCATGCGTCACATAGCGGTATCTCATTGGCTGAGTGCAGGACGCGGTCGCTGATTGGTGTTCGAGATCCTAGGACGCTCGCTGATTGGCACAATCGATTGGCCAGTAATACTTCGCATTTGAACCTGCTGTGCACAGCTGTGGGACGAAGGTCCTGCTTCTGCTTCTGTTACGCCGCCATCCGGTTGATATGATAGGCTCCCTCAACTGATCATTTCTCCTACTGCATGTTGTTTATTACGTTTTTGTTTTCCGTTCGTCTGTTTAACTACATTTTTCCAACTGCCATAAACAATTTATTCATCTGTTTTACTTAAATACCTGCCTTTTCGATTCTGGCTCATGCTTTGCGATACTAAGTTAGACTGTGTACTCCTGCAATTGAGTAACCCTAATCAACCACAACTAGCATCACCTTTCCCCATGCCATCAAAAAGGAGGATACGTTTTAGCCTCCGGTCTGCCAGAGCGTCCGCTATGAGGGCAAGAAGGACGCGCGAGTCCCAGGAGCAGACTACAATGCGACCCACGCAGGCCTCGCAGTCAATCCAGGGACTCTGCTTCAACAGCGACCGTTAGGGCTGCTGAGACACCGCTCTGTGCGAAATGCGAGGAATGCTGCCACTACTGCCAGGTCGAGGGAAGCAGAAACATTTGACCGCAGGCGCACCCGTCAATCCAGGGAAGCTGCTGCAGCTGCTAGGTCTAGGGAATCCGAGACAGAGCTGCAGCAGGGAACTCGCAATGCCCGCAACGCTGCAGCGACTTCTGTTGGTCCAAGGGCCCAAAGACAAGGGCAAACAGACTTTCAAGGGCTGCTACAAATATGGCCGCTGTGCGCTTATCTCAAACTCCACAAGCTCGCCGCATACGCTTCGACGGCAACATTCAGCGCCTTGCGGCCGCCCGTGCTATTGTTGCCTGTCCTAGAAGCTCTTTTTGGTCTTTCTTGGCTTTCAATTACGATCCCGGCATTAACTTAACTACGCGTGACGACAAATGGGCCGGGGAGCCTGCCGGTCTGTGCTGCTCCTCCGGCAAAGTTCGAGTGCCACCTCTGCATGAACCACCTACCCCATTGAGGGGACTAATAGCCGGCTCTCATCCCGACTCCAACCACTTCCTTAAAACAAGTAGGCAATACAACAAATCCTTTCAAATTACCTCATTTGTGTCCCAGGTGGTTCGAGAAGTACAGGGGTAGGTATACCACCGCATTGGGTCTCTGCTGCCTGAGGAGACTTCTACACCTAAATTCCTTCAACTGTACTTTATTGCAGACTACAACGTACAGGCCGAAACCCGGATTGGTATTTCACCGTTGTCAGGAAGAGTTCCTCGCAGGGACGTCATACTACTACTTCAGGCCATGCTTCACGAGGTTATCAGCTACATTCGCAGTTTCAAATATGCTTTGGAAAATGCTCCCTTTCCTTCCTTCAGCATTGTAATTGACGCCGACAAACGGCCTCATGATGAGCATGAACGCCGCTACAATGCTCCTGCGTGCAACGAAGTGGTCGCAAATTATACATGGGGAGCGAGACCGCACTTGCGATATTGTCCTCAAATCAAGAGGCGACGCTCTTCGCAGGATTTCAGAGACCCATTGATCATATGATGCATTGCAGTACCCTTTACTTTTCCCTTATGGTGATGATGGCTACCACTTTGGCATTCCCCTTCATACTCTAGGTGGCCAACCTACAACGTCTTCCAAAGCCTTATCGTGCAAGGCCTTCTACTCATACCGTTTCATGGTTAGGAATGGAGATTTCAACCTGCTTCATAGATGCAGGGAGCTTTTCCACCAGTTTGCGGTTGACATGGCCGCTAAGATGGAATCTGAGAGGCTTTGTTTTATACGGAATCATCAGAAATGAAGTCAATCCCCGCGACCTAGGGAAGCTGTGTATTCTGCTCTCTATCTACACTGGGGTGGGGGGGACGTTACATGCATGAACGCACGCAGGACGCTATGACATACGTTAGGCAATATGGCCGGCCAGACTTATTTATAACGTTTACATGCAACCCCAAATGGGTTGAGATAACGCGTGAACTCCTACCCGGACAGGATTACACTCACAGACATGACATTACTGCCAGCGTATTCCGCTTAAAACTGGGGAAACTTATGGACTTAATAGTGAAAGGGCAGATTTTCGGGTCTGTTAGATGTGACATGTACATTGTTGAGTGGCAAAAAAGGGGACTACCCCATGCCCACATAGTCATTTGGCTATGAATCCGGATGAGGACAGGGACCTTTTTGAGGCTGTGAGATCCCACATGTTCCATGGCTGTGAGATCCTACATGGTCCATGGGCCATGCGGTCCAGGCTACGAGGCGCGCCCCTGCTGTCAAAACGGCGCACCGTGTTCTAAGGGGTTTCCTAAGACATTTGTTGATGAGACGCAAACCGGTGGGGACGGATATCCTTTGTATCGGCGAAGGGGGAGGGTGAAGGATGCAAGTTGGGAGGGGGGGCACCGTATTGACAACAGTTGGGTGGTCCCCTACTGTCCGCTTCTCCTAAAAATATTCAATGCTCATATAAACGTTGAGTTCTGCAATTCCGTCCGCTCCATTAAATACATATTTAAGTACGTTAACAAGGGCATCGATGCCGCCATGTTCTGCGTTAAGCGGGGACAACGGCCGAGACGAAGTTTTGCAGTAATTGGCTGGGCGGTACCTCAGCAGCAATGGGGCTTTTTGGCGCGTTTTCTGCTTCCCAATTCAGCAATCGTACAGCTGGCCGTTCACTTAGAGAACGGACAGCAGATTTACTTTACTGAACGAACTGTGATAGCTATCGCCGAAAACTCGAAAGACACAACTTTAACAGACTTTTTAAAATTGTGCCTTCATGACGAGTTCGCTAGAACTTTGCTATATCCACAAGTTCCATCATACTACGTTTGGGCGAACAATATTTGTAGTCGCAGTAAGTCTGGCCAGAGCGTTGACGGATACTCCGGCATTAAGTTTGACACCTGCCTTTGGTCGGGTCTACACTGTGTCACCAAATCAGCAGGAGTGCTTCTTCCTCCGGCTTCTGCTTCATGAGGTTGTTGCTCCAACAAGCTTCGAGGCCATTCACACTGTTGACGGAGTCATGTGCAACACCCACCGGGAGGCTTGCCTTAAACGTGGCCTTTTGTGGGATGATCCTCAATGGGATGCTGCCATGGCAGAGGGAGCTCTCTTACAGGCACCTGCGACCCTTCAATCCTTATTTGCGATCTTAATAGTAAGATGCGAAATAAGTGACCCCCGCCCCCGCTGCTTTATGGGCTAAGCATAAAGACTTCATGTCGGAAGACATTTTGTATGCGGCACACTGACCTTATTTATAATAGGTCGCTTATTCAGGTTGAAGACATTGCTCTTGAAATGAGTGAAGCTGTTCTAACTACATACGGGTTACCTCCGCCAGTGCGAGATCGCACTGCTGTCTTATCACCAGAAATACTGCGCGAAACGTCTTATTGCACTGCTGACCACGACCGCTATGTCCGAGAGAATGAAATACACCTCCTACCAGAATAAAGAACGGGTTACTCCACGGCGATTGACGCCGTCCGACAACAGTGCGGTAGCATCTTCTTCCTAGACGCAAAACTAATTCTAGCTGAAATCAGGCGGCACGGAGACATCGCGCTTGCTGTTGTCTCATCCGGGATTGCGGCCACATTGCTGCCGGCCGGGCGGGATCGGACGGACGGACAGACGGCGCACTCTATATTTAGACTTCCGTTTGATCTTGCCAAGGCCGAAATTTCAACTTGCAGCATTTAAAAAGATTCGGGTCAGGCTGACGTATTAAGACGTTGTAAACTCATAGTGTGCGACGAGTGCACTATGGCTCACAAACAAAAACTCGAGGCGTTGAATAGGTTCCTTCTAGACATTATGGACTCCACTGCTCTCATGGGTGGTTTGACTCTCCTACTCTCAGGTGACTTTCGTCAAACCCTGCTTGTCATTCCTAAAGGGACAAGGGCCGATGCTGTTCGTGCGTGCCTTAAGTCTTCCAACCTCTGAGCCCATGTCCAGTCATTGCACCTGACCAATAACATGCGCACTCATACTACTGGGGACAACGGGTCCGCTGATTTTTCAAGGGGCCTTCTAGCCGGTCGAACTTCTAAATTCCTTAGAACCGGCGGAACTTCCGCCTCACACACTGAGACTGAAAGTGGGCGCGCCCATTATGCTTTTGTGTAACCTGGTTTCCCCTGAAACAGTGCAATGGTACACGCATGGTGGTTAAGTCTTTGGCACCAAATTTAATTGAAGCGACAATTCTTACCGGTTGCGGAAGGGGTGAAACTATATTCATACCGCGCATGCATCTATCTCTGTCGGGTTCAGATGTGCCCTTTACATTCCGCCGGTCGCAGCTTCCCGTCAGACTTTGCTTTGCAATGTTTATTAATAAATCCCAAGGCCAAACACTACGTGTCGCGGGAATTCAGCTTGGAGAGCAGTGTTTTTCCCACTGCCAGCTGTTCGTGTGTAGGTAGAAGCGAGGACGTATTCGTCTTCACTCCTAGGGGTTCTGCTAAATATGTCGTTTACAATGAGGTTCTGTAAGTTGATGCTACGTAGGCGGCGGCTGACAGTTTACCTCTATGCGGTCTTCAGGACTGTATAAACAGTCGGCGACAGTACAAACCTCCAGGCAAAGCTCCGATTCCCAAGAGCAGTTTTCCCTCTTACCACATCTTCACAGCCTACCTGCCATACAGACATCGGTGAAATTTGTCTCCCATTGTTACTACACCGCACCAGATAAACACGTCCTTCCACCTGCCTTCGGTGTATTCGCATGGCTGCTTGCGTTTCTCTGTCAAACCCTCCCGACTACTGCCACCGTCATCTCCATTACACCACTACCATCTATATTGTGGAGGCATCAATAATTGTGTTAAGCGCCCTTCACCCAGGAAAATGCATCGCTGATGCTGCATCCATTCCCAACATTTTTGAATAGCTGAGCGCTACAGGGAGCTTGCAATGACATACGCTTTCCCTAGGTTTCAGTGTTTTGTTCCGGCAGTGTTACATGAAACGCATCACAGACATCACTCTTAACCTTTGTGGGATTAGTTTGAAATCTCTGTATTGGCCTTAGCCAGGTTTCGCCTATTGACTTAATCTACATCTGTACAATTTGTCTGTTGCAGGGAGTTGGCATCGTGGAATCCTTCTGGGGCCCGCCAGTTAATTCCGTCTCTGTCTTGCTTCTCACACACCTACCTGTTGACCTGTTTGCGGTAGTGCCATCGCCATCTTTCACTCAGCCTGTGTTTCGCGTACCGTTGTGTGCTTTTGTGTTTACTGAAGTCAGCTTAAACGGTGGTCAATCCATTTAAAAAAAAAGATGATTCAAGACATACTTAGGGGTTGACTTATTTCCAACTCCAAAACTCCCGGCACCTACAATTGGCTGCTGGTGGTACCTCAGGCTCATACTGTGATCCGCTAAGGCAAAATGTACTTGCGCTACTGTATGCACTACCCGCTGATTTAGATTCAACAATGAATCATACAATCGCATGCGCTCACAGGGTTGGTGGGGTATAGTTGAGCTGGGCTGGGCTGCGCAATTCGGGGCATTCAGAGCGGTATTCGATGAGGTCAGCGACGCCTAGATGTTGACACAACCGTTGGCATTTTCATTTGAGATGCACAATGCCCCCCACCCACTACTCTCTGAAGCTACTTCAAGCGTCGATTCAATGGGCTGAAACCTGAGTGCTGGCCAGTCGGAAATATGTTCTGAGTATTTCGCTTATTGAGCTAGCGTCTAATTATGAAGAGCGATTTCTGTGGGTGCTTCATTGTAGCTCTGTCTACTAGTAACTTCAACACTTTAAACTTTACGGAAGGCCAAATGCTGCGTTGCAAGCGCCATCCCTTTACTGGTTTGTTCCCAAAACTGTAACATCCGCAGTAAAACCGACATCAACAGCTACCCCCAGTACTCCCAATTCACAAACCATTGCGCTTAACACAACTATTGACCCCTACATGCAGCTGTGATGACCTCTGTTCGTGCGCCACGACAATTACCGAGTATGTGCGGGGGGAGTCACGTGCGTTCGTCCGCTCAGTTTCCCGGGTGGAGGGAAGGGTTTCATCTTGCCATAGGAAATGAAGTCAAATCATTCTCGGTTCAATAAATGGACATTCCAGACTTATGCCAAAAAAAAAAAAAAAAAAAAAAAAAAGGAATGGACACAAATTCACCACTAGGTCAAGGGCTTCCCAACAAAACTAAGCAAGCCGTACTTAAGTAGGGTCGGGTAGGTGAACGTGTGCAAACTGGAGTAGAGCAGCTTTGCCGACCACCAACGTCGATATGTTAAGCGAGTCCTACAGTGAATAAGCAACCACTATTTTACATCGCCAGAATTGAAAATCTTGACCAATTATGAATGGGTGACAGTCTTCGGGTAAGCACGGAGCAGCAACACAGCAGCCACCTATTGCAACTGGTTGCCCTTGATCTCATTGATTTTGCTACCAGTGAGAGTCCTGGCCTATCACTGACCTCAACAACTGCGGATACGTGCATAAGTTCAATAATTCAAACCCCAAAGCAATTTAACTACATAAAACTCCGAGCAACGTCGGGCTTTACTGCTAGTAAGAATTAAGAGGACAGGAGATAATGGTTGACATTCTACTTAAATAGACAGACATTAGATTTAAAGTTTTTAAGATCAAAGTTGACTGGGAAGCAAGAAGCCGGAAGAGAGTTCCACAATCGAGAAGTGCGATAGATGAAACAGCATAAAACTTACGGTTACATCAAGCTATTTCAATTGTAAATGATGAGAGCTTGCCTGCGCTTAAATTCATAAAGTCTAGGTTCCATAGACGAAAGTTCATCAGAACAATTAACATGAAAGTATTTACAAAAGAAAAAAAAATCAAAGGAAAGCCACATTACGACGGTGAGAAACTGACTGAAGCCGAGGTGCCAGGTCAGGACCAATAACATTGAAGATTCTTTTTTTGGATTGGATATAAGCAAGAATCTCTAGATATATAGCGGGATTATTAAACCAGATGTGGCCGAAATATTCAAAGTAAGGACAAATAGTACTCTTATAAATATGTACGTTAGATTCTGGCGGGGAAAAGTGCCTCTCAAGACGTAGAGAACCGTTTTTCCGAGCAGCGGTCATAGCAATTGATTCAATATAATCTTTCTACTTCATGTCAGCGGGAAATTTTAGTCCGTGAAGGCGCACTGAGTCATTCTCCTAGAGGTTAGCATCTGCCATACTGATGAAAGATAAAAAGACGATTAAAAGAAAGCGGCTTTGCTTTTGAAGTGTTAAAATTAACAAGCCATTCCTTGACTCCAGTTAATAACAGAATGTAGATTATTTTTAGATCAGCTGCCAATTTGACCTTATCGAGCCGCTTAGATTTTCTATTAAGACAGGAATATGGTACACCAATTCCAACCTGACTCACTTGCACAGAGGTTATAAATAAAGTTATTTGAAATAAAATATAATTATTTGAAATAAAAATAAGAGAAAAGCAAAATTAGACAAAATTATTTTTTATTAACAAATCAAAGAATAAGGAAAATGCTTTTATGAGCAGTGAATCTTCCGTGCAAACAATTATAATAAGAATCACTCAAGCCCAATGGTAGGGTTGCCATCAGCAAGAGTTTACGGTCCTTTTTTTATTGAGAGACATGTTATCGGTTAAAATTAATTTGAATGTTGGACCGTTTTCAACAACTCCGGCTTACCACAACATCACGTTCAAACACCGCTTTCTGTTCGATCAGCGATGTTAAGCAACGTCGAGCCCGGTCAGTACCTAGATGAGTGTCCGCTTGGGAATACCATGTGCTGGAAGATTGGATGTGCGGATGGTGTAATGGATAATAGCTCGGCATTATTAATCGGAGAGCCAAGTTCCAATTCCAGTTGGGGTGGTTGTTATATTCATTTACGCGCAAATATTACTGGGAACGGTATGAATCAGCTATGGGTTAATCAGTAAAACTTGTATCACTTAATGATTATTATCTCAAAAGAAAAAAAAATTCTTACAATTTTGAAATATTTTCTGACTATAAATAACCTACATCCGGTTAATAATCTGTAGAAATCAATCAATCAATAACTAAATAACGATCTTTCAATATGACAGTATACCTGCACAAGACCCAGGGCATATCTTAGGAGAGCGGGACTTCTGATTTGAGCAGCGAAGTCCTCTGATATCATATATTTAGTTATTGTTTGAGACCATAATAAGAAGACTGCGGTTTACAATAAAAAAAAACAAAACACGAAATACGCCAGGAATTTCGCTGAAGAAGACACAGGTTTGCTAACACCTGAAATATTTCAAAATGCTATTCGAAGTGTTACATGCAAGATTGCAAATCTGCTATGATAGTTGTTGCCACCTTGCATTTAACTTCCTTTTTTAAAATCATTTCACCCGAGGCAAGGCTTTACTGGGAGGTTAAGAAAATGAGAAAGACGTTTGCGAGAAAAAAAAAGGACAATAAAAGAACAGATATCAGGAAAACAGAAGATGGCGATTAATGTTGCATTTAAATTTAGATTGCCAGGAAGGAAGAAACCGGAAAAGAGTTTCACAGTCGATAAACGAAACTATTTGAATAGAACTTACAGTTCAATCTAGCTATTCAATAGTAACACAAAGAAACCTCGCTGTCAATGTAGTAGCACGTTTAAATGGATGCAGTCGAGTCACCAAATAGGTAAAACTCATTAGAACAATTACCACGAAAATATTTATAGAAAAGACACATGGAAGCCAGGTCACGGAGGCGGGAAAATGACTGAAGTCGAGATATCAGGTCAGGATTGATTACATTACAGACCCTTCTTTAGATTTTCCCAAGAATCTCGAGATCTATAGCAGGAGCACCAGACCAGATATGGCAGCAATATGTAATGAACGGACGATTGGTAGATTTTTAAAAGTGGCAAAAGGAATTCTGGCGAAAAAAAAGTCTGTCATTATACAGTTAATGAACTTTCCTAGCAAAAGATATAACAATTGATTCACTATAATCTTTCCACATTATGTCAGTAAATTAATTGTTTTGGTAATCGGAAAAAATCTTTCATATCTTATTTTAATTTTTTCTATTTTAGGTTTTAAATGTAGGATTCATCCTATAAATACATACATGTATACACACACACACACACACATATATATATGTATATATACATATATATATATATATATATATATATAAGCTGATCTAAAGAATTACCTACTATCCGTTGTTAAGTCAGGCAAGGAATGGCTTGTTAATTTTAACGCCTCCAAAATGAAACTGTTCTCTTTTAATCGTCTGAGAGAACCTTTTTGTATTCCCAGATTCTAAACTCCTGGAGATTGACTCGTTGCGCCTTCTCGGACTTTACTTTTTCGCTGGTATGAAATGGAAATATTATACTAAATCAATTGCTTGGTTCGCTGTTAAGAAAATTTGGTTTCCTATATCGTGGTAGACACTTTTTCCGGCCAGAATCTATCGTACATTTTTATGAGTATTTCATTCGCTCTTGCTTTGAATAATGCTGCCACATCAGACCTAGTGCTCCTGCTATATATTTAGAGATTCTTGATAATACTCAAAGAAGAATCTGCAATGTTATTGGTCGTGACCCGGCATTCCAGAAACTGTATCTCAGCATAGTTTTAGTTTAAACAAAGTAGGGCTCTCTCTGTATTGTATTACTATACCTGAACAAGCATTTGAAACAGATTGGTTGGTCTGACAAGCAGACAAGTAGTAGCCGCCGAATATATATTAGGTTGGTGCAAAAATAATGACGTAAAATGTCGTTTTTTGACATTAAAAAATACGTCAAAAACGACATTATTACGTCATTATTTTTGCACCAACCTAATTGTTGTGGTAGGATCCACCTAATTTGCATAGTGGAGTACCGACCATATAAATATAGTTGTTACCGGGAAGAGGGGAGGAATCAAGAGATTCAACCAGAGACCCTGCCCATCTGCGACTCAGTCAACACATTCTCCAGGAACGGTCTTACCAGGAATATACAAAAGACTATATGTAAATATTGTACACTTTCTTGTTTCAATACATTTTGTTCTAAGTACATTTTGTGTTGCATTATTATTCCATGCATTAGTCAAGTTTCAACACTAATATATATATATATATATATATATATATATATATATATATATATATATATATGTGTGTGTGTGTGTGTGCGTGCGTGCGTGCGTGCGTGCGTCTGTGTATAAAAATTTAGATATAAATAAAGTATATCTTTTGCATGAATAAAGACAAAATGAAAAATTTTCTTTACCGACGCGTTTCGTCCTTTGATGGACTTTGATTAAGGCAGGTGCTAGGATTTTATTTTGCATTTAAGAATATTGATGAGCGTTCTTATATTTAAAGATTTTGGAAAAACTAACGTCATTTTTTTTTCTGTTTAGAAATACACGTCGTAAAACAAAATTTTCCTCGATAAAAGTTCATCAGAGGCCGAAACGCGTCGATAAAGAAAAGTTTTCCTTTCGTCCTTTATTCATCTATATATATATATATATATAATTATTTTTTATAAAAAAATTATAACATAAGTATGTTATAAAATCACTACAAAAATAGCCATTTTGTTTCAACACACTCTGTGTCTTATCAAGTGATGATGTTGAAAATAAAATAAATGGTTTTAAAAGTTTCAGATTAATTAACGATCCTACACTAGGGGGAAACATTGTTACAAAAGCTAGAATAACCAATCAAAAACGAAGTATAGAAAGATTCAAAAGCTCGGCAACGAAATCATATATATATATATATATATATATATGGAGTATGTGTGGGATGTATATATGTGCATGTGTTCACATGCGTGTGTGTTTGTGGGCATCTATGTTTTATGAGGTTCTATTATGGTTTAATGTTTTTTCATACTAATGAGTCTCACGTATAAACCACGTAAAAAATCCCATCAATTGCAAATCAAAAGAGAAAGCAAATGGTTGTATAACATATCTCGTAGGTTCCTTCTATTTTTTTTTTTTTTTTTGTCTGTAAAGTGGCAGGGTGTTGGTCGGAAGCCCGGGCAGTGGTTGGAGTGGGCTGAAACTGTGATGTAGGCAAAGATCACTAGAGTGAAAATCGCTTCTTTTCGGCGAAAAATGCTTTGTTCCTTGAATGTTCCTTTAGTCGACCAATAACATTAAAATCTCTACATCTTTGGGCAACATATCTGCCTCGTATAAGTAATGGGAGAGTGGGTGGCGTAGTTTTTCCTGTTGAAATACTCTCGCATGTTCACACACCCCTGAGAGAGACAGGGAGAAAAAAAGAGGAGGAGAGATAGAAGAGAAATAGAGAGAGAGAGAGAGAGAGAGAGAGAGAGGGGGGGACTGATAGATAGATAGATAGATAGATAGATAGATAGATAGGGAGAGAAGGAAGAAGTGAAAATGATAAAAAGAGAGCTAAAGGGAGGGAGAGAAAGAGAGAGAGAGGAATGTATGCATAGACAGATAGAGAGAGAGCGCGAGAGAAGGGATGTAATATCGAATAAGTTGAGATAGATAGATAGATAGATAGATAGATAGATAGGGAGAGTGGGAAAGAGAAAGATATAAAAATAGAAGTAAATTGAGCGTGGAAGAGGAGTAGATAGATGAATAGATAAATAAATATATAGAGGGAGAAGGAGAGGGAGAGCGAGAAAAATAAAAATAAAGTGAGAATGGGAAAGGAGTAGATAGATAGATAGATAGATAGATAGATAGATAGGGAATGAGTGGAGAGAGATAGAAAGAAGTAAAAAGAGGGAAAAAACTGACAGAGAGAGAGAGAAAAAGAGAGAGAAAGAGGGAGAGAGTGAATGTGTAAAGATGAGATAGAGACGTAACAAGAGAATGGGAGCGGAGTAGAAAAAACAGCTGATAGAGAGTATGATATATATATATATATATATATATATATATAGATAGATAGATAGATAGATAGATAGATACGAACAGAATGTGATATGTAGATAGATACGAACAGAATGCGATAGATAGATAGATAGATAGATAGGGAGAGAGGGATACGAACAGAATGCGATAGATAGATAGATAGATAGATAGATAGATAGATAGATAGATAGATAGATAGATAAGGATACGAACAGAATGCGATAGATAGATACGAACAGACTGAAGTAGATAAATAGATACGAAAAGAATGAGATAGATAGATAGATAGATAGATAGATAGATAGATAGATAGATACGAACAATATACGAAATAAATAGATAGATAGATAGATCGATAGATAGATAGATAGGAACAATATACGAAAGAAATAAATAGATAGATCAATATTTTCAAACTTTCATAGTTTCATAACCGTAATGTGTTCGAGGATGGAGCCATAAGTTGACACGCAGGTGTGAGCTGAATTTTGTTCTGAAAATTTAACTGTATAATATTTGATTATTCATCCCTGAATTAAGTGCATTGTCAACGGAGAAAATTATGTTGAAAACCAAGTATTTATCATCTGTACTAAAAGCTTTCTTTACGGAACACTTTCACTTTGATAATTCATGGTTGTCGTGTGAGAAGATAGTTTCAAAAAATAAAAATAATGCCATTTAAAATAAAAAAAAAAATTGTGATATATTCTCGGGAAATGATAGCATGAGTTGGTGGCGGGGAAACCTTTGCCACGGGAAAACCTTCGTGACCCTCAAAATTGCCTGAAGACTAAAAGCCTAGCAGAATTGGTCTTTTGTGTATCTCTTCGTTTCAAACGCCTTTCATTGTGATAGTGACAGGCGAGAAATTCTTTTTAGGTAGACGAGCATAACTAACAACATGGCACAAAAGGCAGACGAAAGTAAGTGACACAAAGAAGATAAGGAAAAATTAAATTGCAGCGTGATTTATGCTAATTAGCCTGCAAACTTATCAGCAAAGGTCTCGAGAAATCTGGGATGGGACGCACAAGCGTTAGATCAATGTTGCTAGACAGGGAGGGACACCATGTATTTACTGGTGTACGCAGACTGCCACAAACGTATAGGTATGAAAATATATGAATTAAAACTTGATGTCCAGCTTCAGGGGGCAATAATGACAGCTACTGTGTCACATCAACTGCGTGCGTCAGTCAAAGCAAGAAACTATGCGAGCATGTAAGCCAGCTTCGAGGATTTCATTTTTGATTTATTGAATGTATGATGTTCTATAATCATGGTGCAACTAAGGACTAGAACTGGAGGCCTATTTCAAAACCTTACACTTTACTCTTTTACGTGGGTGTACCAATCTTAGTGCTATACTAAATTCTGTCACTTCCAGTGGAAGGAGGAGGAGGTTTGAAATAGATAGATAGATAAAGAGAGAGAATGAGTGGAGGGAGATAGAAAGAAGTAAAAAAAAGGAAAAAGATTGTCAGAGAGAGATAGAAAGAGAGAGAGAGAGAGAGAGAGAGCGAGAGAGAGCGAATGTAATAAGATAAGATAGAGACGTAACAGGAGAATGAGAGCGGAGTAGAAAAAACCGCTGGAGAGTAGGAGATAGATAGATAGATAGATAGATAGATAGATACGAAGGGAATGAGATAGATAGAGAGATACATGCGATCAGAATGCGGTAGATAGATACGAACAGAATGTGATAGATAGATAGATAGATAGATAGATTTAAAAAACCTCCTCCTTCCACTCGAAGCGATGCACTTTAGTGTGGCACTAAGATTGATACATCCGCGTAAAAGTGTAAAGTATAATAGCAAACATGGACAAACGTGCCTACAATAAGACGTATTGTCAAAAGGATGGTTTCCCCTATCGCTTTTTTAACCATCTTCAATCTTCGACAATGTTTAAAAAAAAAAAACGGTGATTAGAATTAGAATAAAACCTAAACATATGATGAAAGTGGATTTATACATTGTTTGCTCTTGAGAATTTACAACAATTTATAAATCTTCATTATTTATCATCTCTCAGTTGCGTCTATCTTTGGGCGGCTCCGTCAAAGGACAGAGTCACAACTGCGGAAAATTATACTGAGAGGTGCTCAGCCCTTGGGAACAGCTGCCCGAGGTAGCGCCCTATCATTGTTGCGGGGGCTCGGGGAATTTTTGTTCCTAGCCCGGGTGTACGCGCTCGGGCTCCGCACATTAAACCGGCCTTGTGTCACAAACTGACCTCGTGGCAGGGTTGAGTAAATATAAATTGCTCTCTCGAGTAGTTTGTAACACATTACTTATCATCTCTCAGTTGCGTCTCTGTCCTTGGGTAGAGTGCGCTCAGGGACGGCTCCGTCAAAGGACAGAATCGCAACTGAGGAAAATTTTACTAAGAGGTGCCCAGCCCTGGTGAACAGCTATCCGAGGCCGCGTCTTCTCATTGCACTAAAAAAAAAGGGATCGGTGCTCGCACCGAGGCCAGCGCAACGGACGGTTGCGGGGGCTCGGGGAATTTTTATTCCTAGCCCGGGTTTACGCGTTCGCCCCCCCCATTAAACCGACTTTGTGTCACGACCTGACCTCGTGGAGGGGGGGCGTAAAAAACTAATACAATTAAAACTAATGCAATAATATTTATCATTTACAATTTATATATAAATAAATATGAGAACAATTTTTTTATTCATAAATTTATAAACATTTACTAAATAATTAAAATGTGTGAACGATCTATAAGGAAATCCTTATTATTTACCATTTTATAAAGTTTGAATCGATTGGCAATTAGGAGATGATTTACCAACCATTTAAATAAATCGTGTAAATAAATAGTGTTTAGCATTTTTGTTGTCAGTTCACAAGAAGAAAGAAATATAAATACATTTTCATATATTTTAGGCTTTATAACAATTCTAATCATCGCTTTTTAAAACACTTAACATTACCAAAGGGGGAAGGTAGTTATAAAAGCAGTGTCATGGGGGGAAAAAGTCCTTTTCACACTACCTCTTATTGCAGGCACGTTTGTCCATGTTTGTCAGTATAATTATATCTGGTATTTCTGTTTTATCGTGGGTAGATTGTATCCTCAAAGCGACATCCACTTGACCGAAGGGGAACTGAAGAATTAATGAGTGGATGAGGGGTTTTGACACGAACTAACAACAAACTGAATGTTAGTGATTCCCGGTTGCTGTTCTGTATTAGCAGTCATGCTCGAAATCGAGGAAATTACTTCCGGTTTTTCCCTTCGTAGGAGACACACTTTACCTCGGGTAGTTCCGATGACGCCGGTTAATATTGCCAGACACACGCATGTCAGAAAGCTGGAAGGAAGGAAAACCTGATAGGCTGACATGGCATAAGTTGCCCCAAGTGTCACCGACTTATCTACCCAGACATAATCACCTCAGCCTTGAATAAGACACACCTATCTCATATTATTGGAAACAGGGTTCGGCTTCTTATTTCTCAACGTGGCGTTTTTTTTTTTCAACTATTGTCATCTTGTGAACGTGCAGTGGACCCCTTGCCTGTGTTTCATTTTAGGTTTACATTAGTCTCGGCCTGGCTTTGCGGTTGTAACCAGCTTAAAACATTCAAATAGATTTTCTTTGACACTAGCAGCCACTTTCTTATTGAACTCAATTAAGTATAAGTTCTTTATTTCTTTTGTTTGTACATGCTGTATTATTTTATGTTTATTGCAAAAACAAATATTTCGTGCAAAATTCACTAAAATATAATTTAAGAATCTTGGTCTTGTTATTTCGAAGTTTATTTCACATGTTTCGCTTGATTTATTATTTTTCTCTATGAAAGCAAATGTATCAATGGTACTTTTTAATTTTGGGGCGTAATCTGTATTTCTGCTTCTAACAGATAAAAACGTATCTTTTACCATAGTTCTTATAATAGATGTAAATTTTTACACTGCAAAATTAAGGAAAAAAATGTGAGGATCTATACAAGACACTCTGCTCTAACTGAAAAATGCATAATTTTACTTGATGGAAAAAACAATAATTTATTAATCTGATTTTTTTTTCAGTCTTTCTTCTTGCAAATGTCACAAAGCTTCTCCCAAGAATGCTAATTTTAATAATGTTTTAATTAGGTTTAATCTTTAATCGACTTTTCTTCCGAGAAGTCTGTTTCTTAGATTGCGTAATTCATTTAAGAAATTATATCATTGATTTATTTAAAAATACCAAAATATACCATTAATTTATTTAAAAATGCCAAAATATATCATTAATTTATTTAGAAATAGCAAAATATACCATTCAGTCAGTTATGTGCCATGTGTGACACATGCTTATGCGATCATGTATCTTCCGATGCATGACTGACTAGGCAGATTTTTTCCCTGCAGTAGGTTGCCATTTCTTTCTGGGGAACGGGGAGGAGAAGAAGAAACATAAATTTCCCAAGTGTATTAGCAGGTAAGTGAATGTAATGGATTCGACTGGAATTTCGAACTCGGGTCTCAGCCCCTATATTTTTCTCAACCGTTCCTTCGTTAATTTATTTAAAGATACCAAAATATACCATTAATTTAAAAATACCAAAATATACCATTAATTTAAAAATACCAAAATATACCATTAATTCATTTAAAAATACCATCAGTCAATATGATTCTCTATGATATTGTTATTCATAACAACAAATATGTTGATTATAAAATTTATTTTTTCATGAGTAATCTGTGTTTTCTTTCAGTAAGGAATTTAAAAAATACGTTGAATTTTAGTTTACAGAAACCAATATAATATTTTTATATTATAAAATTAATGAAAAAGTCACTATTATGAATGCTTTCATTTTTCTAATTAAAACATTTTGAAATAGGCCTCCAGTCCTGTTTCTTAGTTACATCGTGAGTAGGCCTGTAGTATAGAAAACGTTATCTGAATGCCGTGGGTAGAAAGTGCCACACTGAGATCCGAAGGCGTATTGGGATGGCCAAAGATGCACTCCAAAAGCTAAGCAGAGTATTAAGAAACAGAAAAACTTCGTTAAAAACAACAACAAAAAAAAAAGAAAAAAAAAGAGTACTGAAACGTTACGTGATATCTATCCTCATATATGGCAGCGAACGTTGGACAATCATAAAGATGAAGAAGAGACTTCGAAGCAAAAGAAATGTGGTTCTACAGAAAGATGCTGATGATACCATGGAGTGAATACGTGAGCAACACGAGGTTTTATAGAGAAAAAAAAAATTTAAGCATTACGCCCCGTGCAAGGCGTGAAGCCACTAGGATGCAGGGGGTTACAGAAGATTTGGAGCGAGAGCAGATAGGAGTGATAGAGGAAAGGATATGGAGAAGGATAGTGGATAGATCACGGTAACTGGAGATGTCGATTGACATTACATTTGAATAGTTGGCGATTATAGCTCTCGAGGAAACAGTAATAGGGAAGGGTGTTCCACAGGCGATAGGTGCGAGGTATGAAGCTATTGGAGTAGAAGAGACGGCTACATTTAAAAGTTTCTACAGTGAAAGGGTGAGAGCGGGATGCCAGCCTCGTAGGGCGCTTGAATTCATGGAGTCTGGGAACCAGTGAAAGCAGCTCATCGACGCAATTACCATGAAAGTATTTGTGAAAAAGACAGAGAGAGGCGACGGCGTGTCTGTGAGAGAGTGACTGTAGACGAGATGCCAGATCAGGGCCAGTTATATTAAATATCTGTCTCTGAATCTTGTCAAGAACTCCGAGGTAAACAGAAGGTGCACCAGACCATATATGGCAGTAATACTCCATGCAAGGGCGAATGGTTGATTTGTATATTTGAAGTATCGATTCCGGGGAGAAAAATTTCCTGGCGCGGCACAGAGAGCCAAAATGAAGCAAAAAGAAAACATACTTATAGAAAGAGGCAGGTGAAATTTCTGGAGCATTTAATGAGGAAGAAGGGCTTGGAAAAACTGATACTCACAGAAAAGATTGAGTCAAAGAGGGTCAGAGGAAAGCAGCGCATCCCATTCTTGATGAACTTGAGTAAATGGGTGGTAGAACCGGGTATGTGAGAAATAACAAAAAGACAAAGCTTATTAAAAAGGACAGGAATATGTGGAGAGCCATGATCGCCTACGTCCAGAAGGGACTCGGCACATAAAAGAAGAAAGAAGAAGCTATGAGCAACAAGAAGGATTTCCGAACTTTGGTTAAGATCAAGTAGAAGATGAGAGCATTTTCAAAATGACGGCTTGTGGAGTGCCTTTGTTAAGTTACGGGATGTTACTATCGGCAGTAATCCGTGGAGGGGAAACTTTAACAGCTAACCTCAGGGACAGGCTGCTGGGAAGCGAGATTCTTCATTGGGTTTATCTATCATCAGTTTAATGTTTTTCCCATGTTTTTTTTAATATAAAATCGCACTCCCAATGCTGGAGGAGGTTTTATTTCGCTTTGGACTTCTGTTTCTTCGTCTCGTTAGGTATTCCGATAACCTAAAATTAACTTCTACTGGCCGACGTCGTCGGCTGCCAGCTCCCGAGATGGACGCCGTCACCCGTCCATCTCAGTTGTTGGAACGTTGTTGACCGCCCGCAGTAGAACTGTGATTTAATTGATAGCACTTTTCTTAGTATGTGGGATGTTTCTAGTTGGGTGATCTTGGGCAACTCGCATCTTGACGTTACATGGGACATTGTTAGTAGAAAGTAAAATTGTCCATTCCTTTTCTCACGAGGCCCAGTGCTCCGATTACTGTTGGTACAGTCTTAGTCTTCATTTCCCACGTCCTGTTAATCTCGATATTTGAACAATTTCTCGATAATTTTCATGGAGGTGTTTCTCTCAGATGGTACTGCTATGTCAATAAGCATACACTTCCTGAATTTCTTGTCTTTTATGATAAAATCAGGTCTGTTGGCTTTTATTTCCCTGTCAGAGGATAGTTACATCTTTATTTTGGGTAACTGTATCTGGTTGGTTCTCATACCATCTCTCAATGGTTTCGATTTTGTGCTACTTGCATATCTCCCAGTTCACATATGTCGCTACCTTGTTATGTTTGTGGGTATATTCATTTTTTGCTAGTTCAGGACATCGTGAGATAATATGAGCCGACAGTTTCATCATATTTTCTGCAGATCCTGTATTTCTGGTTCGTTCCATCGTTGATTATGTGACAGTGATAGGTCAGTGTGTAAATTGCTCTCGAGTCGTTTGTAACACATTTATTTATCATCTCTAATTTGCGTCTCAGGGACTGCTCTAAGTGCATTCAGGAGCGGCGCCGACAAAGGACAGAGTCGCAACTGAGGAGAATTATACTGAGAAGTGCCCGGCCCTGGAGAACAGCTGCCCGAGGCCGCGCCCTATCATTGCACGAGAGAGAGGGATCGGTGTTCGCACCGAGACCAGCGCAACTGACGGCTGCAGAGGCTCGGGAAATTTTTGTTCCTTGCCCGGGTGTACGCGCTCGGGCTCCCCACATTAATCCGACCTTGCGTAACAACCTGATCTCGTATGGGGGGGGGGTTTGAGTAAATGCAAAAAAAAATGTCACAGTGATAGGATCTGGTTGGAAGGCTTTGGTCCTGAGTCGTAATAATTAGGCCTTCTGTCTCAGTTTTCAGCCCGGTGCTCCTCAGCCATTAATGTGTTTTCTGTTGGCTCGCATCTATTTATTTCGTTCCTTTTCTGTAATTGCCATGCAACGCCCAGTCCTCCCAGTTTTGTTGTAATTTCAAGTTGTTTTACTTACTGGTTTACTCGTTTGGCGTAGATGGTATTTTTTCATACCGACTCAAGGACCCTGTCTGCTGTAATAAAATATATTTTGTTTAATGTTCCTTGGACCTTTTGTATAATAATAGCTTTTAGAAATTCTATTATTTCCTTGTAGGGAGCGTTGTATAGTATTTTAAATATTATCTAGTAATATATATCACTTGCTGATATTGTCTATATTTATATATGAGTAAATAAAAACATATGATGATGTTTGTACTTAAAGCTATAGGTAAACACTGTTTATGTTTATCGCTGAATTTACAAGTAAACGTTGGTCAGA